GATTGCCAGGGTTTACACAGCAAGTGACTCTCAGCTTTGGGAGCAGCACTATGTAACTATTTTCTGTAGTTCCTTTGCCCTTCATCTAGGCTAACAGGAAACATTTGCCGGAGGCCTGCCTTGCCACCTCTCAACACTAAGACTGACTCTCAAGTTGACTGTTACCAAAAGATGCCAGCTGCCACTGAGTTTCTGCAGTTCATGCTCAGCATAACGACACTAGGAGCATGTAAACATGGAACAGATGGGAACATTTACATGGCAAGCACACCAATGTCCAGTGGGGAGGAAGCACACCGCTGTATGGTGGGGAGGAAGCACACGGCTGCATGGGGGGAGGAAGCACACTGCTGTGGGGGGGGAGGAAGAACACCGCTGTATGGGGGGAGGAAGCACACCGCTGTATGGGGGGAGGAAGCACACCGCTGTATGGGGGGAGGAAGCACACCGCTGTATGGGGGGAGGAAGCACACCGCTGTATGGGGGGAGGAAGCACACCGCTGTATGGGGGGAGGAAGCACACCGCTGTATGGGGGGAGGAAGCACACCGCTGTATGGGGGGGGAAGCACACCGCTGCATGGTGGGGGAGGAAGCACACCGCTGTATGGGGGGAGGAAGCACACCGCTGTATGGGGGGAGGAAGCACACCGCTGTATGGGGGGAGGAAGCACACCAGTGTATGGGGGGAGGAAGCACACCGCTGTACAGTGGGGAGGAAGCACACCGCTGTATGGGGGGGGGGAAGCACACCGCTGTATGGGGGGAGGAAGCACACCGCTGTATGGGGGGGGAAGCACACCGCTGTATGGGGGGAGGAAGCACACCGCTGTATGGGGGGGGGAAGCACACCGCTGTATGGGGGGAGGAAGCACACCGCTGTATGGGGGGAGGAAGCACACCGCTGTACAGTGGGGAGGAAGCACACCGCTGTATGGGGGGAGGAAGCACACCGCTGTATGGGGGGGGGGGAAGCACACCGCTGCATGGTGGGGAGGAAGCACACCGCTGTATGGGGGGAGGAAGCACACCGCTGTATGGGGGGAGGAAGCACACCGCTGTATGGGGGGAGGAAGCACACCAGTGTATGGGGGGAGGAAGCACACCGCTGTACAGTGGGGAGGAAGCACACCGCTGTATGGGGGGGGGAAGCACACCGCTGTATGGGGGGAGGAAGCACACCGCTGTATGGGGGGGGGAAGCACACCGCTGTATGGGGGGAGGAAGCACACCGCTGTATGGGGGGAGGAAGCACACCGCTGTATGGGGGGAGGAAGCACACGGCTGCATGGGGGGAGGAAGCACACCGCTGTACAGTGGGGAGGCACATCCTGCCAAGACAGCGAGTCAGACACTTGTCATCTAGATGATTGCTACCGTATCAAGACATTTTATATAATATCTACCAAACTTAAGTTTTTAAAAACATCATGGCTATTGTCTGTAATAAAGCCAGATTAATAAAACTAAATTTAAGCCTTGGGCCTATGCTGGATACAATACTCTGGCAACATTATGACCCTTACAGGTCTAACCATAGCAAAGGCAGAGACTGCAAGTGAATGAAACAACAGATCTGTGGGTGGAAGTCAACCAGAGGCCCAACAACAGAGAGAGGGAGGGAGGCCAGAGGCATGTAGGAGAGTCCAAAGCAGACAGAGAAAACAGTAGACAGGGACCAATAGACAGGATCTGCCCTTGCAGAGAAACAGGAGCAGAGAGGGGGTCATAGAGAGGGAGAAAGGAAGGGGGGAAGAGGGAGACGGAGGTGGAGTGGGGACTAAGAGAGTGTGGGCAAAGGAGGGAATATAGCTGAAATAGCAGGGCTATCTACCAGAGATGGGGGGTGTGGACTGCAGCTGGAGAAGTTGAGGGTAGAGGAGGAGGTGAGCAGAGTGAGGATGCTAGCTGCACTTGTCATGCTGAGGGAGCATGGGGGCCAGCATGTGCTTTGGAAGGCCACTTGTCCCTTCTGACAGTGATGAGGGAAATGGCTCCTTTTGGTAAAGGGAAACCAGTTTTACAAGTTCCTGAGGAATGCTGGCTTTTATCTATTCTCCAGTAACTGAAGAGTGGCCTTTGGACCTGACTGTCTACTCACAACTTGGCTTATCCTGGATTATCAAACGGTAATAGATGAAGACAAAGTGAGAGTCTACTCACTACCCTCTATTCTACCCTCTACTCAGAGGTGTGTGTGTGTGTGTGTGTGTGTGTGTGTGTGTGTGTGTGTGTGTGTGTGTTTTCGTGTGCAATGGTGGGTTAGGAAAAAAGCATGTGTGACGCTGCATGTTGTGAATGTCAGAGACCTCTCTCCTTCTACTTTTATGTGGGTTCAGAATGGACCTCAGGTCATCAGACTTGCTTAGCATAGGCCTTTACCCACTAAGCCACATTGGCAGCTTAAGACCTCTCTATATTTAAGGAAATAAAAATTTACAAACTTATTGTTCTTTTTTTTTTAAAGAAGGATTTTGTTGTTGTTGTTTTAAATTACATGTACATTATGTGTGCGTGTGTACATGTACAGCTGAGTGCAGTGCCCTGTAGATGCCAGAAGGGCTTATTAGATCCCCTGCAGCTGGAGTTACAGGCAGTTGTGAGCCACGTGACATGGGAACTGAACTCGGGTCCTCTGCAAGAGTCTTCAGTACCTGCTCCTCACCACTAAGACTTCTCTCCATCCCTCAAGCTCATTCTAATAAAGAGCTTCAAAAAAGAAAATCAAACTGACTGAAAAAATAACAATACTGCCTTTACCTTTTATTGCATGACAAAGCTAAACTCCAATGTCTCAGGACACAGGTGGCTGGAAGCAGAGGGGAACTAAGCCACTCTTAGCATAGCCGTGTCCAACACAGGACTGTTTCTTTTAGTACTCTCTCTCTCTCTCTCTCTCTCTCTCTCTCTCTCTGTGTGTGTGTGTATCTCTATCTATCTATCTATCTATCTATCTATCTCTGTCTCTATAACAGCAGTCCAAAATTTGGAAAAGTACCAACTAATGAAATATATATTCAACTTTTCCATATATGAAGTAGGAGCTGTGTCTTAGAAACATTACAAAAACTCAAAACCTAGATTTCACAGTCAAGCATTTCGGTGGTTGCCCACCCAAGACTCTAATTGGTCCTATATTTAACAAGTGTTTGTGGAGGAATTGAACAGAAAAGAAAAAGAATTCAAACATTTTGGTGAAGCATGCATCCTTCCAATATCAAAAACATCTTTCAAAATACCCTTTCCTATACAAATGGCACCCCATAGAGCCTGGTTGCTCATAGTGGCTATGGAGGAAGGTGGGCAACTGACAGCCAGCTACATAAAAAGCAACATGCAAGAAGGTCAGGAAACAATGGAGTAAGAGCTAAGTAGAAATCGCTTCAGAGCGAGATGTCAGTATTGTCAACTGCGATCTGGTCATTTCAGGAGGAGGGGTCCAGACAGAAGCCAGTGAGCTTGCAGGAGAGCCAAACCTGAGATTCCACTGCTCATGAAGACACATGATTGTAGTGAAATATCCGGACTCCACATGTCACATCAGCACCTGTCCCCAAGCCCCAATGGGCATGGTCAGTGCAACAGATGTGGGTGGGGTGGGTATCACACGACACATGGTATCACAAAACCTTACATGGTTAGATACATAGTGTTTGCCATTCACCTAGTGCCATCTCCGTGTGAGGAGCCGACCTGGTGACTTGTGATGTGTTGTTCCCACTTCACAGACAAGAGTACTGTGCCTAGGAAGGCTAAGTACATCTCTGTCGTGCAGAAGTGGGACTCATAACAAGTGTTCGTTACCCTAGTGAAAAAGCCCTTAAAACACTATGTTCTGTTTTGGTGAGTGAGTATGACCAAGGAAAAGGGAGGCACTGAGGACCAATAGGGGGATAGCAAAGTACTTCAAAGTACTTGACCATGACCTATTGTAAATAATATTCTTCACAGCTTAATGTTGCACATGTCTAGATTATATTTTATGTATAAGTAACTAAAGATGTTCTAAGAAAAAGTTGCTATGTAGGACACATTCCAATTTTTTTAGGGTTGTTTTTCTATTTTAGCTTATTCTGTTTCATTATATTTAAAATGCTTACAGAACTCCCTGAACTAGTTTAATGGCCAAGTGAAACAGTACCCTTCACACAAACAGTATCCCCCCTATACACACACACACAGAGAGAGAGAGAGAGAGAGAGGGAGGGGGAGAGAGAGAGAGAGGGAGAGAGAGAACACTCATCTGAGAAGCATTACCTGCTCCAGGATGAAAGGGTTTCCACCTTACATTAAAACCCGATACAGGGGCCGTGAGTATTTACCCATGTAAATACATGGAAGGACAGAGAAGGAGCTGAGGACAGTGGCTCACACCTGTAGTCCCAGCACAGGGATACTAAGGCAGGAGGGGTTACTGTGAGTTCCAGGCTAATACGGGTTATAATGTGAGACTCCATCTCAAACCAAACATCTCAAACCAAACAAAAGGAAGAGATGTAGAATGGTGATTTGTAAGTAAGTCAACTTAAGAGTCTCAACAAAGTGAGTTGCCATGGCAATCTGGGGATAGAAGAAGAGGATCTTTTCCAGCAAGTAGCTGCTGCTACTTAAATGCTTCTTCAGGTAATGTCAAAGTCTCAAAGTTTCTTGAAAGAAAACCACCCTTTTCATCTGCCGCTTAATATGCTGAGGGGACCTGCTCAAGACGCTGCAGCCACAAAGTAAGTTAGATGATAAATGTGGTCTTCAATCTGCACACCAGTCAAGTAGCAATAAAATCAGAATAATTCATGCAAAAATTTTCATTATGTTTCTAAACATACTTATTTACATTTTAAATCACACATTAGACAATATGAAATATCTTTCATTTAGACAGGTGTGAAGTAGAAAACAGATGCATTCATTAAACATGGAACAATTCGGCAAATTAAAGGGAAAAAAAAAAACAAAAAATACAAAGAACTCTCTGGTTGAAGTATTTAAGCCACAGTTAACTTACTTGAAAAAATATGGCCATGGCTCCAATTATTCTGTTCTCAGAAATTGCCGTTTGAAAGCTGTCAAAGTCATCTGGATTGTAAAAGAAAATCTGCATCTGTAAAATAGTTAAAAATTATATTAGAAAGAATTTCAAACCTATGGAAAAGTAGAGACTAGTACAATGGACCTGTGTCCCCACAGACTAAAGACAGAAGCCATTTATTCTTGTATCCACATAATTTGTTTGCTAAGGCCTGTGAGACCACAGCCCATGAAACACGGCACTTGACTCATTTGAAAACACACACAGCTTCATACATGCCTATATCCACACATCACTACTGCCATATTCGAATGGCTAATACCAGCTCATGATGAAACCTTCCTAACAGGCAAAGCTTGAACACAGCTCGGTACGTTCAAGCAGGAAGCTAAGCCAGTGAGAGGAAGCCAAGGTGTGAAGTTATCAACACATGATAAATGATTTGGGCACTAGTACTGGGAACTGTAAGGTGTATCTCAGGAGAATATGGGAACACCTAAAGTGAGAAGTCAGAAATTTCACAAAGGAAAATTTAATGGGAAGAAACAATGGCATAGTGCCTTTACACTTTACCATGTCCATAAAAGCTATTCTATGCATTACAACATTGAATGCACTTCAAAAGCTCCATGGAGATGGGAGCTACAGGAAGGAAATAGTGCTTCAGGAAATACCCATCAAGTTGCTTCAGGCTGAACATCACAGGGAAACTGAACTCTCACCCCATCAGTAAGTACCTTCTCTTGTATTTATTTAGCTAGAATTTCTTATTCCGAAACCATAATCCAGACACATCAACTTAAGCTCATTTAAAAGACTGAGCATACAGATAAGATGACAAAAGGGACTACTTTTTGTATTTGTTTGTCTGTTCTTGTTTTTTTTCTCAAAGGCAAAGTTTCTCTCTGTAACAATCCAGGCTGTCTTAGAACTTGCTCTGTAAACCAGGCTGGTCTCGAACTCACAGGGATCCACCTGCCTCTGCCTGAGTACTGGGATTATAGGTGCTGCTAACTACATATGTTCTTATTCCAGCATCCCTGGCTCCCTGTCTGAGAGACCTTGGGAAAGTGATGTTCTCAACAGCAGCTTCTTGACATAGGAAATCAAGCACTTGAGTAGTTCCCAGCAGCACTCCACCCACCACCAATACAGGCTGACACCAGCAGACTTCTTAGAAATACTAGTAAGAGGGCTGGAGAGACAGCTCAGCTGTTGAAAGCACTGGCTGCTCTTCTAGAGGAACCAGGTATTATTCCCAGGATCCGCAGGGTGGCTCACAGCCACCTGTAATTCTAGATCTGATAGCCTCTTCTGGCCTCCTTGGGCACCAGATATATAAGTTGTACAAAGATATACATGCAGGCGAAACTCTCATACACATATAACTAACATTTAAAAAAACTAAAATACAATCATCATATGAATGGCATTGGACTAAGTTTCCTGGGAAACCCTGTTCCTTCAAAAACCATCAGATCTCCTATGGCAGATCTCTAACACAGCTCTGCCACTTCCTAATGGTGTCCTCAAATGGTGTGTAATGGAAATGGTCACATCCCAGCTGGGAGCTTGGGCATTTGAGACCCAACAATACATTCCCAGTAGACATATCAAACTCAAGGTGACTCCATTTAGGTCAAAAGTGAATGCAGTATGCATGAGATGCCAAGGAAAAATGACAGTTCATTTCTGAGGGGAAGATGAAGCCTACTGCACCGAATCACTTCTGAGGGAAATTCAGGAAACTGAGTAGGTGCGAGGAAGAGGTAGACTCTTTTGTGATATTTTTCTTTTAAAGCAAATTCATTTCTTAAGACCTCGAGATCTTTCCAATGCTGGCAGTGTGGACAGCTTTAGATGTTGTGAATTTACACTAAGAAAAATTCACTCTGCAAGATGCTGATTAAAACCGTTTAATAATGGGTCAGTTGCTTCAGGTTCAATGCCACCAAACCAAGTGTGAGGAAAGAAATCTCCACACAAGTATGTTCAGAAAATTACACTTCACTTTCCTTTGAAAGCTCAGACTCTCAAAGTAAGTAGGTTCCAGAAGGCTGCCCCTGAATGGGACAGTAATGTTCAATGCACTATCTGAATAGCCTGGGATGCAAAACACATCGATACCTCTTATGAAAATACATTTTTGGAAAACATGTTTAAATCTAGGCTCCACCCACCTGAATAATTAAATGCCTCAAAAATAAACCACTAGTGTAGGTTGAAAATATCAATTTCCCTTGCTGTTGCTTTTAAGTTGTAGCCCATTGAATTATGTTAATGTTTGCAGATATCTAAAGATAAGAAAGTAAATAAAGGGATAAAGTTTTGCTGGGTTAACTGGACTCTAGCAATTTGTTGTTAAGAAAAAAAAAGTAGAGTAGAGATTGTAAATCAATTTTGCAAAGACATTTCTGGCAAATGTTTTTGGTTAATTTAGTCACCATGACCCTGGTTTTGACATATACTGAGTACCTCTGATTTAACTTTGCCTGTGGGTTAATCATTTCAATGTCAAATCCTCAAGAATTTCCAATTTCTGCATTTATTCTCAAAAGCCACACCCAACCATGGGGGATGAGGCATGCCTATAATCTTAGTATTTGGTGGCTGAGGCAGGAGAATGCATAGAAAGATCTTGATGGAAACAAAACAAAACAAACAACAGGAAAAGTAGTACCCACTATAGACTTTGCATGAATCTGAGGGATAGTTGCTATATAGTCATTTCTGCCAAAGACACATGCTGCTCATGAAGTTCAGGAAATACCTTGACAGTACAGTGACAGAGATGTCTAACCGTGTCATAGCCATTTCCCAGTTCAACCAATAATTAACATTTTGTCCCATTGGCTCTTGTATTGCCTCTGTGGATGTCCCACTATCAGTCACTTGGGAGTTAGACAGAGATAATATGTCACATGTACTGAATACATAGTGTGTAATTTCTAAAAATAAGGATATCCTCTTACAGGAATGCAGTGTAATTGTTACAACAAGGAACTTTCACATTGATGTGATCTGATTATCCAATTCTCAGTTCACTTTCAAACTTAGTAAGTGGCAAGTAAAAGCCCATTACAGGTCATCTTACAGTTCTGGGTGCAGGATGTAATCCAGGACTAAACTCTGCACTCTGTGACCACATCTGTGCTGTCTGTTCACGATGCCATCTGGAACAACTCCTTGGCTTTCTTGACTCTGAGAATGAGATGCCCCAAGGACAATTCCACATAAATCTGTGGTCCATCTTCATACAGTTTCTCAAGGGTAGATTCAGGTGGTATATGCTGTGCACGCTGCCACACAACACTATAATCTTTGTTCAGTGCACTGGATCAGAGTGAATGTGGCATGGCTTATCCTAATACAAGGACTGTTTATCTTCATCATTTTAAGGGTGACAAGAGACAATCTTCTCCACTATAGTTTTTCATTTCCTTTGGAAATGACACGATTTTTGGAGGGAGATAGAATGAAATGACATTCTTACCCTATTCCTCATCTTTCACCCATTAGATTGGACATTCACTAATGATTTTCTAACTCTGCCTTTTCTGTATTCATGAGTGAGAGTCTCATACCAGGAGTATCTTTCTCTTCTCCAGGTTTACTCATTTATGTGTTTTTGTATATAAATTTGTTTTGTTTGTGGGCAAACAGACTTGCCTTGGTTTTTCCCTTTATTCAATCCATGATGATAAACTTATTCCTAGCATTATTATCTTGATGTTCCAACTGTCCCTGCTTTGCCCAGCAAGAGACCCTTCTAAAGGAATACCCTGTCAGGTAGCTATAATCCTATCATTTTCTTTCCTTATTGTTTACCTCCTTCTGATCTAGCACATTGGTTTGGCTACAACTTATATTTTATCCATCCCTGCCACAGAAAGGCCATTTTATTCTAGCATGTACTGGTCTCTTTTGGTGGGAAGAGTGGTTTAAAGACCCAGGAACTCAGCATTTTCTAAATATACTAAAAACAGAAAACATCAGGCTGGGCAGTGAGCTCCAGGACAGCTGGAGCTGGTTCAGAAAGACATCTTGTCTCAAAAAGCACACTCACCATTCCCCAAAAGGAAAAGAAAACACTGGTTCTTCAAGAACACATTATAGTTGAAGGCCAGTGTATCTATCCTGCATAAAAAAGCTGAATCAACTCTATGTGAATGGATGTCACATGGCTGTCCTTTCTCATGGAGACAAGCTGAATGAAACTGAAGTAGAACGCCACTGACAGGTAGTGCGCTGTGTGACAGTCATGAGACATGTTATGTCAACATTTCAAAGCCAAGAGTGATAAGGATGGGCTTCATGTGCCTACCAAGTGGCATGGAGAACTGGACAATCCTCCAGGCGTGTCTCTAGCTGGTCAGCTGTGTTTTACCACGAGAGTCATATGACATCACATGGCATTTAGAAAGTAGTAATTTACAGTGGAAAACAAATCACCACTAGCCAGGACACATATGGTAATATGGGCAGTGGGGAGATACCAGCACACGCTTGTCATGTAGGATGGACACAGTGATGCTGACAATGCTGCCCTGGGCCACATAGGATGGACACAGTGATGGGTGACAACACCTTGTGGCTTGGGTAGCTAAGGAATGTACACAGAGACTAAGATGCTCGAAGGCCAATCTCTCATACTGCACAATTTCCCTCTCATTTTAATCAACCCTAGGGGCAATGTGATTTTGTGTGCTTTTCTTTCAATTTACATCACCGTTCATGTAGCTGAATGAACAACAATTGATCAATCTAAAATAGGCTTATTGTCATTTTTCACATGTTTATTGACTACCTACTGTATATCAAATCGTGTGCTATCACCCATTAGCACTCTGTGAATAAGATATTACCAAGTCTCAGGCAAGGAAAACAAATTTTTCAAAGCTCTTAAAGAAGGAAAACACAATGGTATAGAAAAAGAACCTTTATCCTCAGAGTTCAAGGTCTTCATCACCATGATTATCTGTTTAATGGCAACTCTGTGTAAGATGCCATGAAAAATGAAGACACTGTCAATGCTTGGGAAGACCAAAGAGCCAATAATGAGACAAGGTTAA